GCTGGCTCTGAATCAGAGGTGGTATTCAGCAGGCTCTGACCAGTTCTGGAGAATCGATGACGGAAATTTTGAGTATTTCGGAGAACTGGCAAATACCACCTCTGACTGAGATTTTACAGTATCCTTCCCCTTCCACACACCCCAAGCTATGCCCACAGAACTAGTAGTAAAAAATTTGAATCCCACCACTGCTCTGAATGAGAAAGTGCCATCCTATCCCATCCAGAACCAAGGGTGAAAAAAATCTCCAGAACTGGATCCCAGCCCCCTCCCCCAATGGGCAAAATCATAGCTACTCATTCTTCCTAAGTTGTAACCTGCTTTTCTCCATCCAGATCCTCAGAGCCTCCAAAAAACTGGACAGACCTAAGACAGCTTCACTGGGGCAGTCCAGAGGTGATATTATAGCAGGTTTTGACCAGTTCTGGAGAACCAGTAGTGGAAATTTTGAGTAGTTGGGAGAACCAGCAAATACCACCTCTGACTGGCCCCAGCCCCATCTATTCTCTGCCTCCCGAGTTCCAGCTGATTGGCTGGGTCTTCTTTTGTTGCCCTTCACAGGAGAATGGAGCTGGAAAGCAGGTTAGTGGAATGGGAAAGGAATGGAGATTTTACAGTATCCTTCCCCTGCCATGTCCACCAAGCCATGACCACCAAGCCACACCCACAGAATCAGAAGTAAAAAATTAAAATCCCACCACTGGGGCAGTCACAGGAAGATGTATATAATGGAAGGCCTTACCATTAACTTCAAGTGGATGTTAAACAAAATCAGGGAAAGAATATGGCCAGATCCCTCCTTCCACAACACCAACAATCCCTGAGAAAGGACTAGGACTACTCTAACACTATGCTTCCCAGTCCCCCTGAGCCAATCCAGAAAGGAACTGTTGTTAATGGCACCAGAGGCTGCTGAGAGATTAAAAAGGGCTAAGTGGGGTTCACTTTCCCACCCTGGGCTTGCTGTACATCACCAGAAAGTATGGCCAACACAGTCTCAGTATTAACTCCTGGCCTGAAATCCAATGGAGTCCAGATAATTCATTTTTTCCAAGGTTCTTTAAAGCTACAGCCCGATGACTTTCTCAGCAACTTTCTCTAACAAAGTAAGATTGGAGAATGGACAGAAATTATCCAGCTCTGTTGGATCCACCAAAGGCTTCCCAAGGAATGGGGAGAGAATCCCTCCATCCAAAGATGCCTTCACCATCAAGTGGAACCAACCACATATCACCTCCCAAGGCGCCTTAACCTGCTAGAAGATGCATGGGTCTGTAACACAGATGGAGAAGACTCTGGAATTCTATTCAGTTCCTCAGTACTAGCAGGCTCAAATTCCTCCCAATCAAATGAAGAGTTTTTCTGAATCAATTCCACCACACCTACATAACAAGTGTCCAACTCAGGCTAGATCTGAATGACTTTATCTAACATATAGCATCCTTGCAGTTAATCCACTGGTTTCTAATTATGCAGGAGGGACTAGATCACTCTAAAGTGATGGATGACAGGATGCAGACATTGTTTGAACAGAAAAAAAAAAAACACTTTGCTACTCTTATGGCTGAGATAATTCCTAATAAAAAGAATGGCTTTATTTTATTTTATTTATTTATTTTATTTTTTATTTGTCAATTGCTTACAAGATAATAGGTATAAGTAAAAACATAGTTATGGATACATGGATCCATATAAGAAAAATAAAAAAAATATAAAAGAAACAATAGGACAGAGATGGTAGGCACGTTGGTGCGCTTATGCATGCCCCCTACAGACCTCTTATGAAAGGAGTGAGTTCAATAGTAGAAAGTCTAAGGTTAAAGTTTTTGGGGTTTGGGGAAAAAAACCATAGAGTCAGGTAGAGTATTCCAGACATTGACCACTCTGTTACTGAAGTCGTATTTCCTGCAATCAAGTTTGGTGTGATTAACCTTGAGTTTGTATCTGTTTGTGTTGTTATGGTTGAAGCTGAAGTATTCATTGACTGGTAGGACATTGCAATGTATGATTTTATATTCTATACTTAGATTGGACCGCAGGCGGCATAGTTCTAGATTTTCTAGGTCTAGAATTTCGAGTCTGGTGGCACAAGGTATTCTGCAATGAGTAGAGGAGTGGAGAACTCTTCTTGTGAAATATTTCTGGACTTTCTCAACTGTGTTAATATCAGATACGTAATGTGGGTTCCAGACTGATGAGCTGTATTTGAGTATTGGTCTAGCAAATGTTTTGTATGCAGTAGTTAGTAGTGTAATATTACCAGAGAAAAAGCTACGTAAGATTAGGTTAACAACTCTTAATGCCTTTTTGGCTATGTAGTTACAGTGGGTTCTAGCACTTGATCATTTGAGATGAGTTCTCCAAGGTCCTTGACAGAGTTTGGATCATCAACAAGGTCTTGACTATTCAGCCTGTATTTTATTTTCTGATTTTTTTTGCCAATATGTAAGACAGAGCATTTATTTGTTGAGATTTGAAGTTGCCATTTGTTTGACCATTCTGATACATAGTTGAGGTCTTTTTGAAGGGTAGCCATATTGTCTGTAGTGTTGAATAGCTTTACATCATCAGCGAATGCAGTTGCTCTTGATATAACCACAGGGGTCATTTATGTAGAGTATGAAAAGAGTTGGTCCTAGAACACTGCCTTGGGGGACACTACTGTTGACAGGTAGAGAATTTGATAGGACGCTCCCAATTTTGACCATTTGTTGTCTGTTTGACAGGAATGCTTCTATCCAGTTATGCAGGTGTCCAGAGATACCGTAAGATTTTAGTTTTAGGAGTAGTTTGTCATGTACCACTGAATCAAAGGCTTTACAGAAGTCTATGTAGATTGAGTCTATTGCTTTGCCCTGATCGAGTTGTGTCGTCCATATGTTTTTGCAGTGTAAGAGTTGCAGATTACAGGATAGTTTTTTCCTGAAACCAAATTGTTTATTAGAGAGTAGGTTGTTTGTCTCTAAGTGGAGCATAATGGATTGGTTAAGAATTGATTCCACAACTTTACAGGTGACGCAGCATAAGGAGATTGGTCTGTAATTTTCAACTAGGCAAGGGTCTCCCTTTTTGAAGATGGGGATGACCGTGACTTGTGACCATAGTTTTGGGAAGGAGCTGGTCTTGAAAGATTTTTCAAAGATTATGCTTAGAGGTTCGGCTATGGCAGTGGATAGCTTTTTTAAGAAGTAGGCACATATTCCATCCGGTCCAATAGATAGAGATGGTTTTAGATTGCGTAGTGCTTTTTCAACATTGTCTTCTGTAAAATCGATATGTATTAGATCATTGTAGTTCTCTGTGGTTCAACTAGGAAATACTGGGCATGATCCATTGCTGTTTACAAATACTGAGCCAAAGAATGTGTTAAAGAGGTTGGCTTTAATAGTGTCATCATTGCAGTCTTTACCATTAGGTCCTTTCAGGGGTGGGATGGAACTTGAGTCTTTTAGTTTGTTGTTTACAAAATTGTAGAAAGTGCGGGTGAAATTGGTGCATAGAAGGTTTCCTTCTTGTTTAATGTGATAATTGGTGCATTCAGTTTTTATCTGGTGGCATAAATTTTTGTATCGGCTTTTGAAGTTGGCAACGTGACCAGATTTGCTTTTCCACCAAAGTGATTTCTTTTGGATTGAAGCTTCCTTATTGTTTTGGGTAATTTGTTTTTTTCTGGTTTTGGGAGTTGTTAATGGTACATATAGTTTGATAACTCTTTTGACTTCAAGCAAAAATATGTTGTAATGGTCTTCTATAGTATTGCATCCAGAGAATAGAAATTGCCAATCAAGGGATGAGAGATCGTTGTTTATAAGATCATAGTTGCCTTTTTTGAAGATATAATTGGGGATTCCATTGTTGTGATGATTTTTGTGTGATTTTTGTGTGATTTTTGATGTAGCAGTTACAGCATCAGGTTAGAAAGTGGAAATCTGTGAGTTCTAGTCCAACTTTTGACATGAAGCAAGCAGGGTGGCTATTGGGCCAGCCATTTTTTTCTAAACCAGAGGTCTCCAAACTTGGCAACTTTAAGACTTGTGGACTTCAACCCCCAGAATTCACAGGCCAGCTCTGGCTGGAGTTGAAGTCCACAAGTCTTAAAGTTGCCTCCTCAACAAAGTACAGTAGTAACTCCCCAAGTTAGAATGGCAAAATGCATTTCTACCCAAGGCTGATTTTCTGGAAGATGATGCCACCTGCTCTATTTCACACTATAGTTTGAGGCAGGGCTCCCCAAACTTGGTAACTTTAAGACTTGTGGACTTCAACTCCCAGAGTTGAAGTGCCACAAGTCTTAAAGTTGCCAAGTTTGCGGACCCCTGCTCCTCCTTAGGAAGGAGGCAATAGCACTTCTGAAAATCCTGCCAAGAAAAATGCAGGGACTTGTCCAAGCAATGGTCAGGAATCCAGGGCCTGAAAGGAACCAAAATAAATAAAATATAAAATAAAATAATAAATACAATAGCAAAGGCTTTTATTAAGTTTCAGTATTGCTCCTGACCATCTACCCATTGATGGTAATTTCCATAGTTTTCAAAATATGGCAACTAAGGATTTACTGGATCTGGGTTGTCAAAACTTAGCCAATACTAAAAAAGAAAAAGGAAAAAAAAGAAACAATTTATCACTGTAATCTTGTGGCCGTGCAGATTTTTTTGGCAGCCCAGTTTCAGCAGTCCTAACACCGGGGGTGGGGTGAGGTGGGACTATCTTCTATATACCACTACTGGGGTTCTTCTCCTTTTAAAAGGGATCGGAGGGGAGACCTCGCTTATTAAGCGCTCCTCCCCCCCTCTCCCCCCGGTGGCACACTTCAGCTTCCACTGCGCGCGCAGCGGAAAAGTCGTGACCAATCAGCTCGAACCGACTTCTTCGCGGCTGACCCCCGCAAGGGGCCTCCAATTTCGAGAACAGTTCTGAGTGCAATTCCGTCTGGAGCCCTGCGGGGGGCAGCAGAGAGAAAAAAGAGGGAGGTTCTTTCTCGAGTTTCCGCCTCTCATGGCCTCGCAACTTCCGTTTCCTGACCGGGTGTCCGTCCATTCGGCGGCGGTTGGGAGTGGGCTGCGTTTGCGTCAGCTGCTGGGAAGAAGCGCGCGGGGCGATGGTGCTGCTGGAGAGCGAGCAGGTGCCGCGGCCTAACGCTCCATCCTGGGGTTTTTGGTTTTTTTTTTTGCGTTTTAAGGGAAGGGTCCGCCCTTTGAGCTCGCAAAGCCCCGTTGCTATGGGCGCAAATGTCCTCCGACCTGGCACCATTGTAGTGGGGAAGGCTGCCCTCCCGCAGTTGCTGTGTGAAGCAGAATGGGCAGCCGTGGGATGGGTGGGGGGAACAGTTAAACAAAACGAAGGTGGCAGTTCCAGAGGCCTTATCTCTCTTCTGCATCGGGTCTAGTGATTGGACAGCCAGGGAGGAGCGCCCATCACTCCCCTCTGATAATATTAGGTCATTCTTGAAAGTTGCTAAGCCCCCCTCCCCCCACAACGGTATTTGTTTGCACGGGGCCCGCTTAAATGCCTAATGAATGCCAGAAGCTCCAACCCATAGCATCAGTTCTTTGCTACTACGTGCCACTTCCTTTTCTGGCCCTACCTAATTTGGCAACAGTCAACATCCTTGTTGAATACTCCTTGTCATGGAAAAATTGATTGCTTACGGGGCGCGTTTGAAATAGTTTACAATACATTGCACCTGAAAGAGTATTGGCTGTGATGTAACAAGAGGTCCAGCTTAATGCAAGTTAGAATCTCTTTGGTCGGGGAGTAAGGAGCAGTGAAAGGTGTAGATTCAGTGTGTGTATCTAGCTCCATAAATAGATTATAAGGCTGTAGTTGAATAGTCAAGGGCAGCTGTTGCAATATTTGGCGTGACAAAGCTTTAGGATCAGATTGTTCACTAGCTGGAAAAAGAAAATTCAAAATTGTGATCTTTATAACAGATGGTTTGTTTATTTTTTTTGCAGTTCTTGACAGAGCTGACCAGGCTTTTTCAGAAATGCAGGACCACAGGCAGTGTCTATATAACATTAAAAAAATGTAAGTATTACATTCCTGTTTGTCTCACATTAGCTTGTCAATATTTTCTCATAACAAATCAGATGAAGATTCTACTGTGCTGAGTAGTGGAACTGCAATTCAGTTAGTAAATGGGTAAGTAGCAACTTCAGTAATCACAGGAATAATATAGGAGGTAATTACATCAAACTTAATCTATGGGGAAAAACTGATTTAGATCTGTACTGAGTCAAGGGTGTTTAATGCTTCTTAAGTATATTTTCCCTTAATTTGAATATTGTCCTCTTATTGGATAGAATCGTCTAACTTTTTCCTCACAGCTTTCACAGAGAAAACTGTGTGCACCCATTTTTGAAAATAGCCTTTAACTGGGAAATTCTGAGAATAGAACTCCACAGAAATTGCTATGATTGAGAAACACCGGAATAGTGGATGGGAGAAAAGGAATATAGCAGTAATAGGGTTTTCTAAGGTATCTTGCCTCCAATTCACCTGGTATTGGGGTAACAAAAAAAAGAGCAAGCCAATTTTTATTCTCCCCCCCTTGCTTAAATCATAAACGTTATGAAAAGGTAATAAATTCTCTAAGGAAAAATGTTGTTTTTGGTCTTGTAGCATGGGAGGAATAATGTTTGCTTTCAAATGAGCAATCTGTAATGGCATTGCCACAACTGGGGAGTTGGCTCCTTTAAGCATTAAAGAACAGCTTCACCTGTGTTTAATATTGTGCAACCTTATTATTGTGCCCAGCTTAATATAATAACTAGCATTCTAACAAAATTCTTGCCTCCCAATCTGCACTTTTAGATTTCTAATATATGAAGCACATTCAAAAATGGAGAAATGTATTTTATTAAAAATTCTCTTGCTATCTTTAGATGTTATATAATTTAATTTGCTAGTTTTGCTAAATACAATATATAACTTTGATGCTTCTGTTTAATGTAGACGATGGTCGGACAAGACCAATTCCACGGAAGGGCCATCTTGAGACTTTTGAGCCTGTAGACAACAAATGTCTTCTTAGAGCCACAGATGGGAAGAAAAAAATAAGCACAGTGGTAGGTGCTATTCTTTTATGAAAGAATATTTTTTCACCATTGCATTTTTATGTAAGTGTGGGGAGAAAGACCTTATATAAAATAGGTAATGAATTTTATTTTATGTATTTCAAGTTAACAAGCAGGCTAACTTTCACCCTCAAGGTAGCTAACACTTTAAAATGAAATTTAGACAATTATCAAAAACAGAACAATCAAGTTCAAAGGAATTAAAAGGTCAAGAAAGAGAAATGCTTTCAGCACTTCCTGAAAGCAGCATGAGTGATGGATATACAGCTTATTCAGTAGATGAACCTATGGAGCACAAGTATCTTTAAGAGGCTTGGTTATTGACTATAGTAATTAAGATCAGTACAAAGAAAGATGGGGTTCAGATAATTGGAACCTACAACCAGTGCTGCATAGCATGCAATCTACTGGTATTTTTTTAAAAAACTCAAATTGTCACCCTGAAAGACACACCACTGAGTACCTCCATACCTCAGCAACACTACCAACCCATCGCTGATGTGTCACTAGCTGCTGAACAGCCGATTGGCTCATCAGCTACTCTGCTGTGGTCCACATTTATTTTTAATTTATCAATGTGGCTCTTTCCCCTGAGTTGTGCAAGTTTATTTGGAACTTTAAATGTGCTCAGAAAACAACTGGTAAAAACCTAGCTATTTCAATTTGGGCAAAATATGGGCCTCGTTCTGTGTACCAGTCATCAGTTTAATTTGTACATTTTCAGTATGATTTCAAAATTATTAATTATACCTTTCAAAGAGATTTCATTGCTCACCTTTCTATGTATGTGATTTATATAATGAACTTGTAACTTTGAAAATTGTTGGTCGCACAGCCATATGATTAGATTAGGCATTTTTATTCACATATTCAGTCCTTCCCAAATATTTAGGATGGGAAGATGTTGATTTGATGGCATAAAAAGATGCAAACTGTTCCAAATAAAGCTGCTTTGCAATTGACTAATGGTGATTTTGTCAATGCAAGGGGTGTTCAAGTGGTACCGAGATGTTTTGGAATTGCAGCTAAGGCCCCTATTGCTTTCTTTTGCCACATATTATTCTATTATTTTGCACACCTCATAGTTAGATACATTATCCTCTTACTCCTGTTTTCTCTATAGTCCTGTTAGGTGGATTGGACTGAGAAAATATGACTTACCCAGGTAACTTTCATACCTAAGGGAGACCTAATATTCATAATATTCCTGGTTTTTAGTCCAGCATTTAACCAATGCACCAAAGCTAGTACTTAATGTATCAATTCTTATTTATCTGAATTTTGTGATAATCACAATCAGCTGTTTTTGAATATATTGGTTGATCATCCAATAATTCTATCATGTAATTGATTTCTTACAGGTGAGTTCAAGGGAAGTTAACAAATTCCAGATGGTAAGTTTGTATCTATTCACATAGACTTCAGATTTTTAATCAAATAATTTCTAATTTTTACACTGAATGTAAGACTGAGTAATTGGAACCCTATAGAAATGTGTAGCTGCTTTATCTCTGCAAATATTTTGAGTCAAATATTAGCAATTTCTTGAAACTTGGTTTTTTTAAAAAAAAACTTGTTTTTGATTGCAGGCATATTCAAATTTGATTAGAGCCAATATGGATGGTTTAAAGAAGAAAGACAAGAAAAGCAAAAACAAGAAAAGTAAAGCAACACAATGATATAAAAAACATTTCTCCAAAGAATGGACCCATGTTTTATCCCACATTTTTTCTTTATGTAACCACTTTTGACTTCATTTCCAGGTAGTAACTGAATAATAAGGTTCTTATAGAGACAATGCTCTCAGGATTGTGATACACAAAAATAAATCTAATGCATAAATTTGCGCACCTGATTTGTTCCATACCTTTGACTTATTTCAATAAGTATTACTGGAATATCCTTACTCAGAAAAATAATTTTGATGTAACAGTTTGTGTTTAGTATGTGCAAAAGTTTTGAGTGGAATGAAGGTTGAGAACAAATTTCAGTTCTGGTTTTGCTTTACTGTATTTCACTTGACCTTTAGTAAACTACTGTATATTTTTTCAGCAAACGAAGTCAAGGATTATTCTTGCCTAAATGTTCAAGTTGAGGCAGGCTTGACAAAAATTGTGAAATAGCCAATCAGGAAGAGGAAGACTTCCTTCTCAGATACGCTTTTAAAACTTGTGTTACAACTGGAAATGGATTGTCAACGCTTTATAGATCTGAGTTTCTAAGGAGCATTTACTATGCCTGTGCTTAACATAGGTTTTTTTATATAGTGAACTGGTGAGTACATCTGTTACTTTTGTTAAGCATTTCACAAAAGAAGTTTTCTAGAATTTTAAAGTACTACTTTATGGTGGCAGGCAAGTGACCAAGCTAATCTTAAGAAGCAAGTTTTACACTCTTGAAACAATTCTGGAATCAACAGATTAAAATAGTTTATATGCAAGTTTCAATTGCTGCTGCGGGATTTAGAAGAGAAGCAAAGAACTAAAAATGGTAAAGTTGCTTATCTACTAGGTAAAAGCATTGAAATAACTTTCAGTTACTAGTATCTTAATTTTTAAATATTTTCCCTTCAGGGGGACTTGTGTGGAAACTAGAGGATTATAATTAGAAACATGCATCTTATTATAGTTATAGAAGTGAATTTGGCCCACAGCTATAGATGATATTTTTCTTTTATTAAAAAATGTTACAGTTTGACTGTATATTCTTGTATAGGGTTTTTCCAGCGAGACAAAATTTGGCAACTAAAATATTGGGAAAATATGATATTCAGGGAATCCTTTGTGCAAATACATTACTGGAAACTTGGTCAGCAGAAGAGCCATTTTAAAGAACCTAACTGGTTAAGAAAACCCATACTCATGGCTAGGTGCCTGAGTATGACCAATAAGTACAAATGATTGATGCTGCTATAGAGCTATCTTTATACTTCGTATAATGTAATTCTGTAGTTTTATGTTAAATGTTGTATGAATAATGAACTAGCCTGTGTCTTTACAGTGAATGGAAAAAAAATCTCTTTTTAAAAGACTTTAGGCTGAAAGGTATTTAAAAGTCTGTATCTGAGCTATCAGTCCTACACGTATCAATCTAAGTAGTAAGCAAAGACAATCGAAATACAAGAAAAACTCAATACTGCCACCTCACACCTGCTCTCAGTGATCATCCAATGCCAGTCTATCGTGAACCTTGGGGAAAGGGCGAGAGGGAGGTGAGGTGCCTGGGGGGAAAGTGAAAGTTAAGAAAGTAAAGGTGGCATTTCAAAGTCGCTCTGCTATGAGAAGAATGCAGCTGCAAGCCAGCCTACCATCAGAGTGAACATTTCAAAAACATATTAGAAATTGATTGGACGATGGAGGGGCCCAGCAAGGGGAAGTGCCTAAGCAGCGATAAATTTTCAGTTCCAGATTTGGCACATGAATTTCAGTTCTGGCTTTGCTTTATTGTATTTCACTTGATCTTTAGTAAACTACCTTTCTCAACAAATAGAGTCAAGGATCATTCTTGACTAAAGGTTCATATTGAAGCAGGAATGACAAAAATTATTAAATAGTCAATCAGGAAGAGGAAGATTTCTTTCTCAGATAGGCTTTTAAAAAGTAGGAGTTCCATTTCATCTTTGTCATTGGTAGAAGAAACAAACACTCCTTCCCAGTGGCGAGTTGGAGATCCAGGAAAAATACAGCAATCTTAGAACTAATTGTTTATGAAAAAATATGTAGTGCTGCCTTTCCTATACTTTACTTATTTTGTGATATGTGCATATAATTGAATGAACAACAGCTGGGATTACCCCTTTAGAAGTACTTGTTTTTTTCTTCTTTCAGTTTTTCTCCAATTTCCTTAATCTTGACATACTGTACATAATAAAATTTTAAATGCTTAATGATCTAGCACTGTCATTCCAAGAAAAAAAAACCTTAGCATCAGCTGTTTGGGTAAGCTCCCCCCCCCCACTAAATGCTAGGGGAAAGGTTGCCACTGTACCCATGTCTGAGTAATTTGGCCATGCCTGCATTCATGTGCAAGCATCCCTTTAACAAATTACAATATACCCTTTTGGGGAAGCAGTGCTATGTAGAACGCAGAAAAAACGTAAGCCAGAAAATTAAAGACACAAGTAAAATTAAACAACTTAACTAAAATAAGTTGTTTCACGAACTCCAGATTTAACAAAAGCCCAATAGCCACGTCCCATCTATGAAAAACAGGAGGTCCTAGAGAAGGTGTTAGATTGGGTGTCAAACTCAATTTCATTGAGGGCCACATCAGGGTTGTGGTTGACATTGAGGGGTTGGATGGCCATGGCCAACTGGGTGGGTGTGGCTATCTTGATGCCACTCCCCAAACTGCTGGCATGTTTCCTCTTCCCTTTTTTTCATTTTTGGTGCCAAGTTTTATTTTATATTGCTTATACATATCAATGTGTGAACAGTGTGATACCTGGGTATCATACATTTTAGTACAAATAAACATATTATTACATGTTTCCTCTTTCCATTGGGTAGACCGGGCTGATGCCACCCTGGTTCTATCGTTCCTCCTCACAGTTTGTAACTGGGCCGAAGCTATGCTGGCCTGATCTTTCCTCTTTGCACTGGAAGACCAGGAGGGCCCTGCGGGCTGCATCCGACCACATTGTGGGCCACAATCAGCCCATGGGCCTTGATTTTGACATCCTTGTCTTAGATGATTCCACTGAAAAAAACAGATATCCAAGTGTCTGAGCCTCTTACTTATTAATTCCTTTCAGTTCACAATAGTGGGATGACTGGAGATTATTGCTTTTCTGTTTAGCCTTCCTCCCCAATTGCAAAAGACGTGAAAGGAGATTAATGGACTGAACAATCAAAATTGCAGTTACTTGACTTTTTCATAACCAAATGCCACAATCTGTCCATTTTACTTTAAGCGAAAACAAGTACATCCTAAGGTACCAGAACATTATTTTATTTTGAAAAAGATATGTACAATATATTTTGAAAACATTTACACCTTTAAAGATGCCAATCTATGGCACATGAGCTCAACATAATATTTAAAAAGGCAGCGATTGTTCAAGGAGTGATTGGGGAATCAGCAGTAACAAAGTGCAAGTTTTCTTTATATTCACATAATTGGGAGCACACATTTTGTCCCATTCATTATCCTGACTTTAATCCTAACTTATAACTAAAACAGGATTTTGTAGTAGTCATCTTTGTAACTGTAGAGAACAAGGACAGGTACTCTGCAAGAAATAAACAGGAAGAAAGTTGAGAAAACTTAAGTCAATTTTGGTAAAAGATGCTATTATTGTATTTCCAATTTGTGTTAGGCTTCCTTATCAGGAGACCAAATACATTTGTCAAACAGCTATTGGACAAATTTATCTTTATTCTACAAGATCTTCTATCCCAACTGAAATCATAATGCTGTATGATTCAGGACTTCACATTATAATGGTCCAAGATTGCAATTGCTTTACTGAATCTCACAAAGGGAGAATTTAGTGGCCTTTTAACACTAGAGTCTAATGTCAGTCTTTGATACTATAGAACTCTCGCAATGTTTATACCAGGGGTGTCAAACTGGAGGCCCGTGGGATGGATGTGTCACGCACAGGCCATGCCCATCCCAGCTCTGCGAATGGGAAAAATGTCACAAAATGTCATGTGATTCAACATGAGAGTCTTATACTATATTGCTAGTGTCAGGATTCTGGCAGTTACTCCAATTAAATCATGAGCCTCAAGCCACACTCCCAAAACTAAAAAAGATTTGAAGGTAACATTCTACGTCTGGCATTTACCTGGGCGTAGCCAACTCTGAGATACATAATTCAGTCACCCTTCATCCTGCTTCCCCACCCCCACCCCTCTGGGTATATCATCCAACAAAAAAAGTCCATAGCCAAGAGTCATCGATTATGCTCTCCAATTAGATTTTTGCATGGCAGAAGCTTCAGTCATCTAATCAGTGTTTGAAGAAAATATGAATGGAATGTACTTTCGTTTCCACACTGCCGCCTGCTCTCTGAAACTCCCCCCCTCTTTCTGTTGTCAACTATAAAACATTGTATATACAAAACGTTTTATGAGTTGACAGCTAGTATGCCTAGGAATACTTACTTTTTTTCAATTTTGATGGTATAGATTTCATCACAAACTTGTTTAATATATCTTTGCTTCGGTAATCGAGACATCAATTGTTTCACAGTTGTATAGAAAGATTGGTCATCAAACTGAGAAGATGGAAAATATTGAAACCAATTTCTTAGTCTGAAACAGGGACTGTGAAAAAAGTAATGCTGAGAACATCAGGATGCTTTTATTATATATTTTGGGGGTGTAAATAGAAATTATAATCTTTGATTTCTTGGAAAAACAACTTATAAAAATGGGGACATTAAATTTCTTCTATGCCGGAATGAGATTTTGCTTACTGTATACAATAAATGTTCAACTTTATTTAAGCTTTTAAAAAAATTCATTAATTAAATCCACAAGTAAAGGCCAGTAACTTAATTCCTAGGTTTACCTCTAATGATAAGAAGTGTATTATAGTTTCCTTTGGTAGATCAACCTGAAAAAAAACAACACTGAATCATTATGATAACATAAATTCTGAGTTAGAGTTACATTTGTTTCATTTAGTCCATGTTAAATTGGATATTGCATAAGGCTAGATCTATAAGGCATCCAAATTTTGGACTCCTTATCAGCACAAAAATTAATTAGATTAAATATCCTCAAGCTCTACTCATTCGCTGCAAGAAAGAATAAAAACATCAGAAGCTCTGATCTGTAGTCATACAGATTCATATTCATACCAGATTCTGATGACCAATAAACAAATTCCCAAATC